TTTATTACATTTGTAGATAGAACAAGATAATATATATATATATATATATATATATATATATATATATATATATATATATATATATATATATATATATATATATATATATATATATATATATATATATATATATATATATATATATATATATTCCTACCTATTTCAGTCAACGTATAGATAAAAATATATGTATGTATGTATATATAATATATATATATATATATATATATATATATATATATATATATATATATATATATGTTGATATATATATATGTTGATATATATATATGTTGATATATATATATATATATATATATATATATATATATATATATATATATATATATATATATATATATATATATATATATATATATATATATATATATATATATGCTTTACTACATACTATTTTGAATGTATTTATTATATTATTAATATTTACTACCTTTTATTAAGAGGTTCCTTCATTACACTATTTATAGACACAGATGATTGTGACTTTTTGAGATCTTTTTCATTCAAAATAAAGCTAAAAAATAAACTTAAATTTATAGTAAATGTAAATCAATATCAAGTTGGTTTCATTTACTAAATTAATACAAATTACAGATTATTTACAATAACAAAGTATTTGCAACTATTAAACAAATTAAAAAGTAAGGTAGAGCAGGACATATAGGGACACTTAAGAAACAAAAGTTGCAGATAAACTAATCATAGTGAACACTGTTTTTTAAAAATTTCCTTAAATTCATTAATAAAAAAATAAAAAAATCTAAAAATAAGCTACAACAACCAAAGTAAAGAAACTCTAGACTAGCAAAACTTTTACATTTTGCTAGTGGGTGGGGCAAAATGGGAGAGTTAAAAAGCAGCAGTTATTAGATAGCTGTAAAGAATTAGAAATGCTAAAAAATGAAAACTATCTATCATTTAAACATGTTCAGACATTAAACTCTCAAAAAAGTGACATACTTATATAAACTACACACCCATATGCCACAAAAAAGAAATAACTAAAATAAAAAAAAAACTTTTTGTGTTTTATTATAATAACTTCACACTACCTTTACCTATATATAATTTAATTTGTAATTACTGCTAAATTTAAAATTATAAAAAAAATATTATGAATCACATAAATCACACAAAAAATATCCTGAAACAATTTGGAAACATTTTTGATGAGCTGGCTTATTAGCTATATAGAATAAATTTAAAAATGCTATATATCAGCAGCTTTTCTAAATCTAAGTTTTTTTTTACTCACAGCTAAAACTGCATTTCATCCCATTTTGAATGATAGATCTTTCTTATATAATTTCTTATTATCTTTGTTTACATTAAACACTATAATCAAAGTTATAAAAATAAAAAAATTTATATTTTATAATTTTACTTTTATAATTTTTCTTTGAATTTATTACTAATGTTTTTCTAAATAAGAGTTTGATGGATTTTTAATCATTTAGATTAAATGATTAAAACTGTAAGCACTATCACAAAATAGTAGTAATATAGTCAATTATATAAATAACTTATTGTCCCAATATGCCCCACAAAAGTCATTTTACTGAAATTAATACTATTCAAATAGTTCAATTTCATATATATTTTTAAAACCAGATACTAAAAAAGGATAAAAAATACTGTCTGAAAAATATAAACTTTTTATAAACAAAGCAAATTGGCAATAATTTAGGATAAATTTTTTGTCGTTGTATTGCTTAAGAAAATATGCAACTTTTATTTTTTGCAAACTTACTGATTTACTTTAAATGTATTTTGGTATTTCTAAAATTAAATTTTTTTTCACAATAATGAAGCAAAATAATTTAAAATGTTTATCGAAAAAAAACTTTTTTTTTTTTTTTAGTTGAGATATTTTTTTTTTAAGCTGAGACTTCAGGCATAACTATCATGATATGCCCCGCTCTACCCTACATAAAAGTTAAAAAACAAAACCTTGCTGCTTTGTTGGCCCTAACTGCATCTAATTCAGATTTTTTAACTAAAAAAACAAGTATATTAAATTAATTACCTAACCAAAACAGAATAGTAATAATAATAAAGATAAGAAATTTTATATAAAATATTATATATAAAATTCTTTAAAGAATTTATGATCATTGCATTACCATCAGCTCCAGTACTATTATCTTCACTAAGAGATGTCATTGACTTTGCTTTCTTAAATGAGATTTTACTAAGAAGACTTGGTTTTTTTGGAAATTTACCATTGTTCAAGTCATGACCATGACTTGCTCCATACAACTGAGCGTCATTTAACGAATAAGTAGAAGTACTAAGAAAACTTCCCATTACAGTTGTGCTTTTATTGCTATCTGAACGCTGTCTATAAGCTTGTTGTTCAGCATCTGATACAAGCGAACTTTCGCTATCATTAGTGTTCAAGCTGTTTTGACTTTCCTTGTTAAGACTTGTATGACTTTGCCGATCAACAAAATCATCTGCATCAGATTTTGTATTATTGTTTGTGAGTTGATCTAAGCTAAGAACCCGTTTTACAATTTCTTTTTTGTCTAAATTAGGATCTTGCTGAAAAAGTTCAAATAAACCTTCCTTTTCTACCTTCCGTAGATTTTCGAAGCTATCAGATAGTGGTCTGTCATTTTTACTTTCTGTATAATGTCTGCGAATGGCAGGCATCTTTTTAAGCAATGTTTGATTAGACATGTCTAGAGATGAATCGCTACCATCTTTAGCTAAATGCATGGTACTTTTTAATTGTTTATGCAAAATGTCATCATTAAGATCATCCTCTGTTTCTTCTAAAACAGACTCAAGTTTAAAATTTAATTCTTGTAAATTGTTTAGATCGTCAGTTTTTATATCAGAAAGATTTTCCGAACTACCCGAAGATAAAGATTCAGTTTCATCTGATACTATATTATTCTCTGGCGGCAAAAAACTCTTAGTTTCAGCAGCTAAATTTTCTGAATTTAATTGGTTATCTGAATTTCTACTATTGTCATTAGTTGAATTTTTATTTATAACTTCTTCCATTGTACATGGCAACACTTCTATCTCTTTAAACAAAGTAGGTACAACTTCTGCAACCTCAGTAATATGTGGTTGCTCAATGAAACCTACAATAACATTGCTCAATCGCCTTTTTGGCAAATAATTTTTTTCAATTTCATCTTCATTGTCACTTAATACAATTTTTGAATCTTCTTTAATTGAGATGTCAGTATCTACAATAAAAAATTTAATTTAATTTTAAAAAATTTACTAAAATATCAAAACAATGGCTAAAAAATAATTTAAAAATATTGTACCAAGTGCTTTATCACTATCTAGTACAGTTTTACTGTTTATCTCTTCATCTGAATCCGATATAACACCTTCACTCTAAAAAATAATTTAAAAAAATGAAAAACTTCAACAATTTTATTATTTCATAAATAATTTGAGACCACATAAAGCTTTAGAGAACATTTCACTTAGGAGAAAGATTAAATAACAATACCAGATACATTTGATATAAACAATATATAGTGAAAAAATTTTCATATAAAACAAAAATATAATTTTGTTATTTCATTAGACATAAAGTCATTTTATTTGTTAATATGAATAATAATAATAATAATAATAATAATAATAATAATAATAGCAATAATAATAATAATAATAATAATAATAGCAATAATAATAATAATAATAATAGCAATAATAATAATAGCAATAATAGCAATAATAATAACAATAATAATAATAACAACATCAACATAATAATTATTAAAATATTCTGATACAGTCCCAAGACATACCGCAACAGTAAAATTCAATAAACTTCACTGCAACAGTAAAATTTATTGATTGTGGCAGATTTTGTTCCAGCAAGCAAAAACAGCTATAAAAATGATGAGCTTAACTAGTTCCATATGTTAACAGTTCTGTTTAAAAATATTTAAAATGGCTAACTAATGACTAAAAATATTTTAGAAACATTGTAATGTCTAAAAAATAGTTTTAATATCTAAATGAATTTGATTTTGATAAATTTCATGAAATTAACTTTGTTATTAAAAGAATAAGAATATCGCTATATCTAGTGTGTAAGTTTTTTAACCAGAATCTTAAAAAATAACCTTTAAAAATTGGAGGTTTTAACCAGAATCTATGCAAATAACCTTTAAAATCAAAATATATAAATGCTGAGATTACTTAAAACTAAATGTTGAACTTTTTAAAATCTATAACATCAGACATTCATTTAAAATCAAATTATATAAAACTATTTGTTTTATGCTTTTAAAATATAATAGCAATATTAATTATATAGGGAATAAATGTGTTATTCTGCAGATTGATGGCACAGTAGTGTTAATCTGCAGAACAAAAGCAGTTTCTAGTTCCAATTATGTCTGAGTAGCACCTAACAAGTTTATTCTTTCCATTTTATTGTTTTAATGTGTAAAGGTTTTTAAAAACATTAAAAAAGGAGAGAAGCAGTTCTAGAGAAGTTTAAACTACCTCTTATCTACAAACTACCTCTTATCTACAAACTACCTCTTATCTACAAACTACCTCTTATCTACCAACTACCTCTTATCTACAAACTACCTCTTATCTACAAACTACCTCTTATCTACAAACTACCTCTTATCTACAAACTACCTCTTATCTACAAACTACCTCTTATCTACAAACTACCTCTTATCTACAAAGTTCTACTGTATTCTTTCACTGTACTCTTCCACTTCACTCTTCCACTGTACTTGTATACAATTTTTTGGCGTAATTTAAAAACTTTTTTAAAACACAAAATAACTACTTATTTTTATTTGATATAATTTATACTTAAGGACTAAGCATGTTATAACTAAATGTTATATGATTAAAATATAATATTGATAAATAGTTATATATTATATATGGTTATATAATATTCAACTATGTATCCATATTATAAACCTTCTACTTTCAGTTTATCTATGTGAAGATGTAAGTTTTAAAAAACCCATTTTTGTATGTCATTTTTTTACAAAAAAAAATTTTTTTGTTATTAGTATTACAAAATTGCCACTAACACAAATCATATCTATATGATATGCGATGATGCATTCAAAAAATCGTATACAAGCATTTAATGGACTAAAACCAAACTATCAAGTGTTAAGTTTGGGGTTAAATGTTTTTGTGGTTTTAAAATTCCTGCATTTTTCTAAATATAATTTGTTTGTCTACTTTTCAAATGTGTTATTACAACTGATCAATCTAGATTGACTATCTTTACATAATTATTTGAATAATTAAATAACTAAAAACAAATATCTTAAATTTTACAGTAAAATTTGATTTTTATGTTAATATTTTTATTTTCTAATTTTTGTAATAATTTCTACAAACTTTCTAAAACAAAAACTATTTTAATTCACACCAATTGAGATTCAAAACAATTTTCAATCTACCAATCGAAAACATTCTATACTTTTAAATATTCAGTTTAATTTTGGTTAACAACTCAAACCTTTAGTCAGTGCACTCTCTTGCATGTTCTACCTAGATAGTCAGTCAATGTATGTACTGAAGCCCTCACAGCTACCTTAACAGATGACATCTTATTGCTTAACTGAATATGTAGCATTTTATATACATATATATATATATATATATATATATATATATATATATACACATACATATATATAATGCATATATATTTTATATATATATATATTTATATATATATATATATATATATATATATATATATATATATATATATACATGCATTATATACATATATGCATTATATATATATATATGCATTATATATATATATATATTTATATATATATATATATATTTTTTTTTACACCAGACTAAGATACACCTAAAATGTCAAGGATATCATACTGAAATAAAGATTAGAGGAAGAGATCAGGGTGAGAGGTTAAATACATGCACTAACTGAGGGTAGAGTTAAGCACTTGATATAAAATAGATCTTTTTATGACAAAAATTGTAATTTTTATACATATATATATATATATATATTTTGTATTTATACAGAATATACAATGCAGACAATACTATTTGGTTTTATAATTTATAATAAAACTATAACTTCATTATTACTGTATATTATAAATAAAAAAACAAAACAAAAACTTAACCTCATCTTCAATTTCTTTATAACTTAAACTTCTTAATCTTCGAATTTCAGCATTAATCTCCTGAAGCTTCATTAAGCTTTCAGCTATAATAAATAAACAATTCTAAAAATTTAATTCAGGGATTTTTTACCTCCATCTTTCCAATTTTATAACATAGTCTTGTTTAAAAAACTTTCATGCTGCACTATGGAAATAAATGTTACATAAACAAAACTCTATATATAAGTGAGGATTGAGAAAGTGCTTATGTTTTAATTTTACCATTTGCGTTTTTACAATTTCAAATACTAAACATTCTATACTTACCTGTTACTGGTGTTATCTTTAAAATTTCAAAACTCAACATTATTTCTCATAGAGAAACAACAACATTAATAGTTTTTTTTTATTTTTAAGTATTTCTTTACCAGTTTTGATTCCAGCAATGTACAATCCATAAATAACCTTACACATTTTTATATGTACACTTTTGAGTAAAAATTTACATTAAGTATTGTATACTTTTAAACAACCTATTAATTGGTTAGTCCCAGTCTCCTAAAAATCATAAACACATTTAAACAGAAATTTTACTGCTTTAAGATATATGCTTCATTAACCAATATGAAATTTTTGAGGAAGTTTTGCAATCTGAAACTAATCTTCCTTCATTTATAATTACTTTAATAATCGCATATCCTCAAAATTTATGCATGTAATTTTTTTATTTTATTTATGTAACTAGTTACTTATGTAACTTGTTTATGTAACTATTTATTTTTATTTATAACTGTTTATTGGTGATTATCTTAATGATCCGATTTGAATTTCTTTTTGTTTTGATTTATGATTTTTTTTTCCTTCATGCACTCTACAAACAACAAACACAAAAGTCATAAATTTGACTGTTTTTTGTTTTTTTTTTACTTAATTTTTGCTTAATGTATATTTTATCTCAAGCACTCTTCTGTACAATTTATTATAGTAAAAATAACTAATGCATATATTTAACTTGGAAAACACATAAATCATGCTAAAAAAAAAACATAATGAGTATTTAATATCGTTATTATGTATCTATTATGTATATTGATACAACTTTTTGCAAAAACCCTGAAAAAAAAGATACAAGATGCAATCAACTTGATTTTTAAATATAAACAGATAAATAACTAGAAAATATAAATATACTGAACATTAAAAAAATATTTTAAATTAAAGTATTCTTAACCTAATGGAGACTTTTCATCGGAATCATCAAACTTTTGCAAATTCTCTATAAAAAAAAATCTGTTCTTTGCACAAATTAAGAATTATATATATATATATATATATATATATATATATATATATAAATATATATAAATATATATATATATATATATATATATATATATATATATATATATATATATATATATATATATATATGTATATATATTATCTATAAGTATATATGGATGCTTTTTCTAGTGCTAACTTGTTTTATATAAATTCCAAAAAATTCAAAAATAATTAGTTCAAAAGAAGCAAAATTTTATATAAATTACAAAAATAGTCCACTGTAAATTTACAATATATATAGTTATTAAAAGTATATATAATTTTTTTTTATATTATTCAGCTGTATTCATATACTGGGTATTCACATATATATTACTACGTACTAAGCTAAGCAATAACACCACATACTGTAAAGGTAGCTATGAGGGCTTTAGTACATACAACTATCAGAACATGCAAGAGAGAGCACTAAGAGTTTAAGTTGTTAAAAAACAAAAAAAGTTGTTTGTGATGTTTGTTTAAAATGTGTGTTTATAATAAAAAGATTATTTTTGAAATTGTTATAAAATTTTGCTTATTTTGATACTCAACAGGTTTTTTTCAATATTTAGGGTCTTGTTGCAAAATTCAGGCTAATCCGATAAATTATCCAACAAATTCAATAAATAACCCAACAAATCCAATAACATTTTGGAAAAAGTTTGACAGAGTTGCTTGTGAGCACCAATAAAAAAGTTTAAGAACAGGAAAAGATCTTTCTCAAAGTAGGGAACAATCAATGCACCCTAATATTGATATATGTTCAATAAATGTAATGATGTTTCATATTTTTACCAACAAATTTTAGCAGCAATAAATTAACAATAGAGTTCTTGGAATCTAAGTAACTTTAATCTTTTTTAACTATCTTTTTTAATTAATAGCATAAAACTTTTATTCATTATTATTTAAAGCAAAATAAAGTAATTTTACCACTCGCATTAGTAGACAATAAATCCAATTCTTTCAAAAGCATGAGACCTTTATCTAAAAATTATAATTTCATAACAGAATATAAAAATTCATCTTCAAAAACAAAAAATAAACGATATTAGCAGAATTGATTATCATATCAAATAAAAATCAGCCAATTAAAAAAAAAAAATCTTTTCATCATTTTACATACAACAAATATAAACAAAAAAAGCTGCTAGTTAACATTAAGATAAAAATTTATTTTATCTTGACAGAAAAAAAAATTATAACAAAAAAAAACTGCATCAAACAACATGAAACAATATTCCATTTCCTTTTAAATGAAAAAAGATTATCAGTTGTTAAATTTAAGAATATAATTAGATTACACAAATAGCATTGTTATTATTGATGTCATTACTTTTATGTATACCTATATCAATCTCCTTGCTTTCTGGAATTTTATTAGTAATTGTTATAGTTCCAATCTTGTGTCTTTTGACAACAGGTCTGTTTACATTTATTTCTACTTTATCAATATAATCTGATTCACATGGCTTTCTGAATATATATAAATATAAATATATATATATATATAAATATAAATATATATATACATATATATATATATATATATACATATATATATATATATATATATATATATATATATATATATATATATGTATATGTATATGTATATGTATATGTATATGTATATGTGTATATATATATATATATATATACATATATATATATATATATACATATATATATATATATATATATATATATATATATATATATATATATATATATATATATATATATATATATATATATATGTATAAAATAATGTATATATATATATATATATATAAAACAACAAACTTTCATAATAATAAAGATGCAGAGAATAGTAAACAGTTAAATATACTTGATGAAAAAAATATATATATAATTTAGTTAAAAAGATAATTTATTAAGACAATATCAGGTATACGTAATTCCGTTCAAAGATGTATTAGTAATTTAAAATATCAATAGAAAAGATAAAATAATTGGATTAACAAAACATTAATTTGACATATAGTAATCTATTAAACTTAACAGCATCAGAGGTGATTAAAGTTCAACTTTTAACGAAAACTATTTTTAACAATTTACAACTTATGTATAAAGATCTAATGATTATCAAAAAAATTAACTTTGAGTTTGAACTTGAAAATTTTTTTTTTGAGTTTAAACTCTAAAAAATTTTAATTTTTTTATGAGGAGTTATATGTAAGTTGTTGGACCATGTGAAATTCTTCCACAACTGAAACACTAGCATTATTATTATTTTGATACTTTTAACAAATAAAAGTTACCATTATGTTAGTGTTCCAGATAAGAAACACAAGCATAATGGTAATCTTTAAGTAAAGAATTTTTTTTAATTTAAACTATAATATTCATTTTTTAAAGTTTATTATTTTAATTGTGAAAATATGTTATTTTTACATTTTATAATTTAAGATACTAAACAACATAATTAAAATTTTAGAAACTATAATACACTTAAAAAAAAACAAGGTCTGAACACAAACTATTATGTTTAAAGTATTACAAATATTTACAAAGCTTCTATACTTCTTTTTTTTCAAATAAAACAACATAATATCCTAAGCTAACTTAGCCAATAAAAACAAAAATTAAATCTGTTTATTCGGAACAAAAACAAAATAAACAAAAACTGATTAAAAAACTGCTAATAACTTAAAAAGCTAAAAAAAAAATAAAAAACTTTAATTAAAATATGAGAAAAAAAAATCAATGAAAACAAAACTCAAATACTAATACTTGATATATATATATATATATATATATATATATATATATATATATATATATATATATATATATATATATATATATATATATAGTACATGTATATAAATGCATATATATATATATATATATATATATATATATATATATATATATATATATATATATATATATATATATATATATATATATATATATATATATATATATATATATATATATATATATATATATATATAGTACATGTATATAAATGCATATATATATATATATATATATATATATATATATATTTATATATACATATATATGCATATATATAGATAGTTAAATAACAAATATTATGCATAAAAAAGAATTTTCAAAGAAAAAAATTTTCATGTACACTTCAAAAGCTGTTACAAACACTTCACATTAAAAATTATGTTCATTAATAAAAAGGAATACATTTCTTTTAAAAACAAAATTAATAAATAATGAGACCAATAATCTAAAAATCACAAATTTAAAACTTTTTTTTTTTATTTTAATCAAAATTAAATTGTTTGCAACATTCAAAAAAGCCATGAGGTTTCGTTATACTACTATTATGTATACAATATGTGTTAAGCAATTCTAATATTTACTTTTCCTTCATTGACATATAATTAATAGTTATGTAAAGATCACTGTTACAAATCCTTTAATACAACTAAAAAGTTTTTATACAGTGTTTCTTTACAACATATTCATATATTTTATAGAGTTTTCCTTTGCATATATATTTAAAAATTGCTGCTAAAACATGTTGAACTGAGATTAAAACAAAACAAAATTTTTTAACCAAGCAGTTTCTTATAAGTTTAAATTTCTTCTTTTGTTTGCTATGAAAACAAAAATTAAACTTTGTTATATAAAATTTCATTTTAATTAACAACAAAAAACCTTTGAATTCCACACTGATATAACACATTTTTTTGATGTTATGAAAAACAATAAAGTGAAATCATTTTAGTGAAATTAAATGAAAATCATAAGATTAACATTACAATTTTACTCTTTGTTTTTTTTTTATTAAAATTTTAATTTAAAAAATAAGAACTTTAAAAAAAAAAGAGAACTTTAAAAAAAAAAATAAGAACTTAAAAAAAATAAATAAATAAATAAATCCAAGTAAAAGAAACAAGTAAAAACCAAAAATTATAAATTAAAAATTATATACATTTATAAATTATATAATATATTTATTATATATATAAATATTATTATTAATATTACTGTTATTATTATTATTATTACTATTATTAGTATTAAACATAAAATACCAAAATTTTTACATTAAACTTTCTGTGAATCAAGAATTTTAGGAAATATATGAACTATCTTCTGGTAGTTCATAAATACTATTTACCTATTGTTTATATTTTTTTCAAATTATTTATAAAAAAGAAATAAAAAAAAATTTTAAACTGACTAAGCAACCTGAATAGAAGAAAACATTTTTTTATCTGCTTTTCACCTTCTATCGCTTAGGGTAAGGAATAGGTTAGGAATAAACTTGTTCTTAGATGACAACTTTATTGAGATATTGTTGCAACACAATTAGTAACATATTTTAATCAAGCGCAATAAAATATAGTTACTTAAAAAATATATTTACGGATTACTTATCTGAAGTAAATAAGGGCAATAAAAAAAATTCGTCCAAAATTATTATTTTGTTACCACCTAATGTTTTAAAACTTCCTGTTGTTAAGACATTGCATGATTTCTGTTGTTAAGACATTGCATGATTCCTGTTGTAAAGACATTGCATGATTTTTTTATGTTTCAATTTAAGACTGCAAAAATAACATACTTTTATTTTTTGATTTTAAGAAAAATTGTTTGTAAAAAATATTTATTTGGTTATTTTTTATTTACAGAAAAGTTATAAAACCACTAACACCTTAGTTACTTTTATTTTGTGTATTTCATGTACACATTTCTACTAACCAGCACCACTGTTATTGTAATTTTTACTTTTTTTATTTTGTAGAGTCAATGCTGAAGTCATTCTGAAACTTATTGTTTAAATAAATCTCAAGAAATGTATCAAAAGTAACCTTTACAAAACTATTGTTTTTCTTATTCACAGAATATTAAATTTATAAACATAAAAAATTTATAAACAAATAAAAAACAATTATAAACATATGGCCTTAGACAGACGATGACTGCAAGAAAAAGTATTAAATAGAAACTTCAAAAAATGGATTGGTCTCTATATTAAAAAAATAAAAAACGGCTGAGAAACCACAAAAGAAAAAATATTAATGTTAAACTTGCACTTCTAAAGGACAAGTTAAAAAAACTTTTCTAAAGTTAAAAATATTGCTCCTGCAATACAATTCTTGATAATTTTGATGTGCTCTCCCAATTTCTCTCCCAACTTCATGTATAAAAGTTGTTAAACTTGCAATTCAATTTAAAATAGCCAGGTATGCTAGCTGGTATTTGATAATGAAATAAATGTTATAAATAATTTTGAAAGAGTCAATATATCCCATCAGGCTGTCTCTGTCTCTGGCATCAAAGAGATTGTTTATTACTTTTGTTAATTATTTTGCATTTTAAATATTCAAAAATAAATTTTTCAATTAGTAAATCTAAGTTTGCTAGTTTAACAAACTTAAAATGAAGATTAATAATATAAAAAGTTTGTTCTCAACTTGGTTGTAAACCAGACATATTTCAGTTGTAAACCAGACTTTTTTTTTTTAGGGTTGTGTACTTTAATCAAACCTAATACCTAGAAACGCCAACAAAATGAAAATATTATCTTGATACTCTAAGCATTATATTAAACTGATACGAAAGTTTCTTTACATACGATATTAACTACTTTAGTGTGTAAAAAGAACTTAATCATCGTTTAAATAACCACTTAAAAAACTTGTAAGAATGAAAAACAAAATAAACTATGATAAAGAAACCACTTTATACTATTCAAAGAAAGTTTAACAACTTAATAGAACCAAGTACCTATAGAAAAATAATTAACCATTTAATGTTTGTAAAATGCAACCCAAATTTCTTTTGCATCATTTTATAAAAGGAAAACAACTGAAGATCAATGAAAATAAAAACCATATATATTGCAAAAATATTATTTACTGTGTGGTTTTTTGTAACTCTTGTAAACCTGTAGTTAATATTTGAATGAATCGACCTGTTAATCACCAATCTTATTCAAAGTGTAAAAAACTAATAGGCAATTTCAAAATTATTACTTGCTTTTAAGGGTCTTAAAACAAGTGCAAAATAAAAATTAGTTAGAGTTCAAAGAAAAACTTTTACAAAGAAAAAAAAAAACTATTCCATCAGAATAAAAGTCAAACACTTTCATGGATACTCCTAGAAAAAATTAAAGCTGCTTCTAATAACGCAGAACTTGTAAACAACATCACTAATGCTTGTAAAACACTTGTTATAATGTGCTCATTAATCAATAGGAAATTTGAAATGAAAATTTCACTGTATCATATTTAGTTAACTTAATGATCTACTAAATCTCTAATAATGACATAACATTTAAGAGATTGACTTGATTCGCAAAACTGTATTAGACATTTTTAATGATGATAAATCAATTTGAAGAGCATAATAACTATGTTACAACATAAAATTTTTAAACATTTTTTTCTTTTTGTTCCATCTTCTTTTTGGGTAAAGTTCTTGGTAAAATATTCAAACAATTTTTCACTGGTTAAAAATGTGTGACAAACTCTGTTGAAATACTGATGTGATGTCTCTTTAAACTTTAAAAAATATTAAAATTTTATAAACCTTTTAAAATATACGTAAAAGATTTAATATATTATAAATATTGTTACTTCTTATAGAATAATTAAAGCAAAATATAATAACAATAATAATAAGAACAATAGTAACAATTAAAAAACAATCTAAATTATGATTCAAAAAAAATATTACAGAAATTAATAGCATACCTTGAAAATAATTCTATCAATTTGCTATGCTTAATTTTACAGGCAATATCAAGAGGTGTTCTTCCTTTAGAATCTGTTACTTTTAAAACTTTATTGGCACCATTTTTTGTTAACAAATACTCAGCCATAAGAGGAAGTCTGTATTTTGCACAAAAGTGAAGAAGCGTCCATTGACTTTGATTGGCTAAATTTCAATAAAACATCAAAAAGTTGGATTTAATACAAGAGAAAAATTGAGAGTAGAAAAATAATAAAATAAACAGAAAAAAATAAATAAAATAAATTCAAAAAATGAACTGATTAAACCACATACTATTCTCTGTTCCTCCTGTTTCCACTGTTCTCGCAGTATCACCTGTTCCCCATAATGTTGGAAAAGATAATTTCATTAATGAATCAACAAGCTTAGAATCAAGAATATTTTTATCCCTGCCTAACATTTTTAGTTCGCTAGAATAAGTTCCTTGCAACTTAAATAGACCATCACTATTAAATGCATTTTCAATAAGCTCTTTTGCCATTATATTAACAGAGTCTTCGTAAAAAGTGAAAGTTTGTTTAAAGATTTCAGATGTTATGTTTTCTGAAACCTTTAAATGAAGAACCGAAACCTCAACAACTTCAGCACAATCATGATCTATGTAAATATTTTTTAAATAACAATAAAAAAAAAAATATTTTTTAATTTTAAAATAAACACATTATTACAATCATCATTTACTAAACAAACAAAAAATCAAATACATATTTAAAACATACATGGTATGATTGCTTGCAATATTGCAGGAGAATAAACTTTTGAAGAAGTAATGTGATAAAGATTGGAACCTTTAAAGACTACAAAAAATTGAGAGTCGTCATCAAAAATTTCCTTATTTCCAAAAAGAGAAATAGCTATTGAATCACCACCCTAGTAAAGAGATATAAATAAAATATACATTATTGAAATAAAAGATATATATCTCTTATGTATAAAATATATTTTAATTAATATATATTTATAATATAGAAAATATATATTAATAAAAAATTTATAAATGAAAAAATTATGTAAGTGAAAAAAATATAAACCAAAAAGAAATATTATTTATAAATATAACTTGAAATTAAAAGAAACAATTTTTTTAAATCTTAATATTGTATGATAAATGTATTAGCAGCAAGAAAATTTGCCCAGTATTTAGAGAAAAATAATGAAATTAATTTAAATGAGTGAACCAAAAAAGCAGGGATGCAGAGTCTCAAAAAGAACTTGAAAGTCACAAAAAGATTACTTTATCCTAGTTTAAAAAATATAAATAATTTTATGGACTACTAATAGGAAAAAAATTAAAACTTTTAGGTTAGAGGAACAATCAATTTTGGAACCTAGAGACCTTAGGTATAATGGTGGCAAGTACTCCAGGACTCCAGGCTTAAAAACAATAAGTTTCAAGTCATTAAATCTCATGAATTTTTTTCTTATAGCAGATCATAAGTCAACAAACATGTTTAGAACTTCTGGACACTACAGAGTTGGAAAAAGTTGAGATATAAAGCCGGAGTCTTTTTGGGACTCTGCATCCCTGCAAAAAAGACCGAACTGGTTAGCTTTATAGGTTATTTTAAAACCTTTAATGATTAACAGACACAAACAAACAGGTTACCAACAACAACGCAATTGTTACTGATGATTGTTTAATTTTTTAAAAATTTGCTTCAAGTTTTTTAATTATTCTTCATTTTTTTGACTTTCAAACAAACTAAACTCATCAAAATACTTTAAAATACTTGTGTAATGTTAGGGAATATATACAAAGTTTTTGGAAAAAGGACAAATTACATTATTTCTTTGTTGAAATAATTTAATTTAAATAAGCAGAAATAAAACATTAAATTGTTTTTAATTTATCCTATTAATATAAATTATGTGTACTATATATAAAATATTTTCAAAAAAAAAAAAAAATGCCATCCTCTGTGACCTCCCTTTAATGGGAGGGGGTGGCTCTTAAATCACATGCTAACCTTAATAATAGTAAAGCTATTTTTTTCTGAAAATAAACAGATTATAATAACAATATTATGGAAAAACTTACAAATATATGAGATTCTTGGGGATTTAAGGAAAACAAATCTAAAAAAAAAATTAATATTGGCTTAAGAATATTTATAAACGTATATGTTATATATGCTTGAGAATATTAATAAAAATCTCATTTCGAGTCCATACCAAAAATATTTTTGACTTTGTATTATCATTAACAAAGATTTCACACTCACTCAATTATTTAATATTTACACTTTTTCAATTTAAACACATACTTTTTTGTTCATGTTAAAAATATAGTACTTATTTTAACTTATGCTCAATACATACATACATACATATACATATATATATATATATATATATATATATATATATATATATATATATATATATATATATATATATATATATATATATATATATATATATATATATATATATATATATATATATATATATATATAAAGGGCCTATTCTAGGAAAAAAATTTAGGCTGCGGTACCCCCTCATTCTGGCTAACTTTAGCAGAAAATCAAGAGGTTTTTTTGCAAAAATAACAATGTTTGCCATAAAAAACTTAAAAAAAAAAAGGCCCTCAAATTAAAACTTGGTTGACGCTGTCAAAAACAGTTTAGAATAGCCCCTGATATATATACTCACATATATATATATATATATATATATATATATATATATAATATATATATATATATATATATATATATAAAAAAGCTTTAAAAAATATATATATTTTTTAAAGCTTTTTAAAAATATATATATATATATATATATATATATATATATATATATATATATATATATATATATATATATATAACTTTAAAAAGCATTTAAAGAAGTATAAACTTTGTTTAACAATGAGTACGCTAAGGTGCATTATATAATATTACCAAACTTAATAAAAAGAAGCAGACACACTATTTAATATTTCGAAGTGTGACTGCTGAATTTTTTAACATTGTTGTTGCATTTTGAAGCACACTTCTTAACAATTTAAAATGAGTTTTAAAATTACATTTTCTTTTATTTCCAAATTCTATTGTATTTCTTAAATCTTGTAGTCGCATTTTGAATCACGTAAAGTTGAGTCATTAATAACACTGATTCTCTTTTGTTTCTCACTAGTAAAACAATTTTTTTTTAAATTTGTCAAAAAATTAACAAAATAAAAAACATTAAGATGCACATGAAAAATAATTACTAGAACGCAATTAATGATGCAAGTAAAAATTCTTTTTTTTAAAAAAAAAAAAAAAAAAAGTCTTAGTAGAATGAAAAGTGTTTTCAACATTCAACTAAATTAAATTTGATTATCGAGAGAGAATAATTTTTCTTTATATAAAATGTTTCTTTGCAGAGAATTTGATTTGCAGAGAATTTGAGAAATTGATTGAATTAGAGAGAGAATTTTTCTTTATATAAAATGTTTATTTGCAGCTTTGGCATTCAACATTTTTGCGTCACGTAACAAAACCTTTGTTAAGATTGACAAAAACAAACAATATGATACTATGACAAGGATATCAACTATGACAAAAATGACAACACACCTTTAATCTAATTAATAAAGTAATTAATTTACTTTTAAATAAACCATTTATTATAAGACATATCTTAGTATTCAGACGTTTAAATTTTTTTCTTCAATATTTTCACCTAAGAAAAAATATAAAAAAAAAAACTTTTACACCAGACTACTGGTTATCATATCGAACAACTCAAATGAGAAATGAAAACTGTTTCAGTCGCCCACTGGGCAACTAGGAAAAAACCGGAGGGTACACCGCTGATATATATAAACAAATTTGGTGGGCGGCTATATATATATATATATATATATATATATATATATATATATATATATATATATATATATATATATATATATATATATATATATATATGTATATATATATATATATATATATATATATATATGAAATTATTTGAAATATAATTTTTTCTTATCTTTAGTTTTCTTTACTTTATATAAAGACTTTTATTAATGATCTATTGATTCTTTCTTAAAACTTTTTTCAAATGACAATCCCGTTGTCACATGAAAACTTTTTTCATGTGACAACGCCGGTTTTTCTTCTGAGGTATTCATATATATATATATATATATATATATATATATATATATATATATATATATATATATATATATATATATATATATATATATATATATATATATATATATATATATATAATTATTAATATATATATAACTATTAATATATATATAACTATTTATATATATATATATATAACTATTAATATATATATATATAACTATTAATATATATATATATATATATATATATATATATATATATATATATACATATATATAACTATTAATATATAAAAACATTAATTATTAAAAACTCTTACCACTCTCTTTTTTAAAATTACTATTACAAAATTCGCTGTCAGCATCAAAAGGTGAAATTGTCATCTTTTTATTTAAACCTACGGCAAAGCAAAAATAATATAAACGTTGCCTTAAAATATAAATAATAATAGTAGAAGTGCGTTTTCATCTCATATACACAATTATATATTTATACAAGACATAGACAAGTACACATTTTTAATATAACTTTTTTGGGTGCTAAAAACTTCTGTATAGATGATAACATGTGAATTAGGATAGAAAAAAATAATTTATTTGTTTTATTCTGCATTCAAATGTTTAAAACAATTATTTTTGCATAAAGCATAGAAACAAGGACAACAATTTTTTGTGGACCTAAAAACTTTAAGGTCAGCATTTAGGTTGGCATTGCAAAATGCCAACCCTAATTTGGAGCGCTGATATATATATATCAGCGCTCCGAATAGAAGGCTGCCCCACCTCTGCTAAATCTTAATAATTATAAAGGGGTCACCAATATCTGGTAGCTATTATATATATATATATATATATATATATATATATATATATATATATATATATATATATATATATATATATATATATACATATACATATATATATATATATATGTATGTTTATACAAATATATATATATATATATATATATATAAATATATATATACAAATATATATATATATATATATATATATATATATATATCTATATATATATATATATATATATATATATATATATATATATACATATACATATATATATATATGTATGTATATACAAATATATATATATATATATATATATATAAATATATATATACAAATATATATATATATATATATATATATATAAATATATATATACAAATATATATATATATATATATATAAATATATATATATACAAATATATATATATATATATATATATATATATATATATATATATACAAATCAGTACAGTATCACATATCAGTAGGTTCATCAGGCTTCCTGATGAACCTACTGATGGTGAAACATGCTGTTGAAGGTGATGCTACTGATGGTGAAACATGCTCTATTCTTTAAGATTATTAAGCACTCCATTTGCAGAATACACTAACATAATTTATATATATGTATATATGTATATATATACATATATATATATATATATATATATATATATATATATATATATATATATATATATATATATATATATATACATATATATATATATATATATATATATATATATATATATATATATATATATATATATATATATATACATATATATATATATATATATATATATATATATATCAAAAAAAAATTATTTTAGAAAAATTAAAAAAATACCATGTACCAACTGTTCTTAATCTAATGCATGCTAGCCTTGAGTAGTTAGACCAATTTTTTAACAAACTTCACATGCTGCATTATAAAACTTATTTTAGTTAACTTAACCTGCTAATATAATAATATATAAAAGATAGAATTTTTTATACAAAATAAATAACTATTTTATTTTAGTGAATTGAAAAAAAAAGTTTCACAAAAAGATTTTAAAAACATTTTTTCTATAAAGCAAGAGATAAAAAAAAATTATAAACAAAAATAAATAATAATAAAATAAATAATAATAAAAAAAATTAAGTAATAAATAGTAGTCATAAAAAAAAGTAATTCAAATTATAACTTTTTAATTCATTAAAATGCCATCAAATTAAAAATCAAAAAAAAAATATATGAAAACAATTAATCTTTTCAAACAAAAAAATTCCAAAATCATTATGACAAAATTCCACTGTTGAAACATGAGCATGAAAATTTACATCTAAGTTTCAATAAAATTAAAAATAAACTTGTTTGTCTGGGCTTGACTTAGGCGAGCAAACACATTTAAAAAACTTTAGAGTGGTATAAATTGTGAAAGATTAACTTTGTACCAAAAAACTCAATCTACCAAATAGCCCACAATTCCATCCCATTGAAAAATATTAGGGCATTGACAAAGGATAGTTGCGAAAAATTAGGACTTTTAGGGCTAAAATTAGGACTTTAGGGCTAATATTAAGACTTTTAGGGCTAGAAATTTCTCACTTTACTTTAAAATTATGGAAGGATATGTATCAATATATCCTTCCATAATTTTAAATTATGGAAGGATATGTATCTTTACTTTTATTATACAAATATCCTTAAGCGAGTAAAGGAAGTAATTATGGGAGATATATTAGCATTTAAAGTATCTTACATTTTTAATTAGTTCATGGTGACTATAATTTTTCCAAATAAATTTGTAAACTACTATATCCTTATTATTTACATAATGATTTTATACAAAAGTATAGTCTTTCTACAGATATCTGCTGTATACTATTTTATTTTTCAATATAGTTTAGCTTTATCTTTTGATAAAAATAGATTGACATTAAAGTTGAAAAAGGGGAAAATGATAACGATATACATTAAAATTTCTTTGTAAACTCTGTGCAATATATCTATGGTTTTATGGATTTTTCTATAAAACCATGTTTTATATTTCCATAAATTCAAATTTTATAACATAAAATCTAAATTTTGGCCAAAAAAAACTTTACATATGAATTGTTTCAGGGATACCAGAATCTTAATTGTAAAAATCTCTAAACATAAATATATACTTGATACCTGATTACTTGATAATTCATTAATCTACCTTGACAAATAAGAAATGTGAAGTAAAACCACTTTAGTACATGAGTTAAATTGATAATAGGAAATAAGTGTTCGTTAGTTCAAACGATGGTTATAAATCTTTTCAAAAATCAAAACATAAAAATGTATTAAATTAAAATAAATCAAATACAATTTGGTATTTAACAAGTTTTTAAAAGTAGAGGTGAAAAATTAAAAAGTTTCTTTCTTCAAGATTTTTGAATTTAATAAATGCAGAATCAAAAATATAAAAAACATTCAAATTGATCTTTTAAAGAGATATTTATAAATAATATTGTCTAAGAAATATTTTTGCATCCAAATAACTACTCATTTCATGTATTTTTGAAAGCACTGGTAATTTTTATTAAAAATGAAAGACTCGAAAATATTCCTCTTGACACCTAAGATATCCTAAGACAACGTTATGTTAAAAAGTTAAATAAAATAGATAATACACATGACACTTGGATTTAAATTACTCTATGATAGTAATAAAACAGATTTATTCATTTTTAATGTTTCAAACATCTAAATATCATATTTGAAACATATCATGCTTCATCATGTTTGAAACATATTTAATATGCTGATGTTTGAAACATATTTAATATGCTGTTGTTAAAGAAAATATATGTTGACATATATTTGCCCTTGTAAATGTGTATACTCAAGTTAACTGTTGTTTTAATAAGCATAGATACAATTTAAAAAAAAATATATTATTTCTATTTTCCACGATTTTAACATTTATACACGTGCTGTTGTTTAAGACACTGATTTCACATTTGCTAACATAAAATTTGTCCTGGTAAATGTGTAAATACAATTTAACTGTTGATTTAATGAGCATAAGTTAAATTTAAAAAACAAATATGATGTTTCTATTCTCCATTATATCTACTTTTTAATATTCTGGTTTTTTACATTGCTGCTGTTCATTTAATGTATTGATTTTTATACCACATTTACTTGATTCAACATATATAAATATACTTTATCGAGTTCTTTCGTAAAATGGCTGCTTCCGGCGTTTAATAATTGGTTCATATATATAAACAAAATACAAAACCGAAATACCCATAGAAAGCGGAAGTAAAATCAAAAATAAATTGATGTAACATAAATTTTAATCAAAAATCCGTTAATCATGCGACAAAATGCAAACTTTGTTTCAGATAGTTGGAAATCACTATACATAGGTTCTTTAATTATGCAAAAAAAAATCATTGGGTTATTTTAAAGTTTTAGGCTTCCAACAATGTTATTCTTATTTTAGCGTTTTTTGAAAAAGTAAAGAGTATTGTTAAATCTAGTAAAGTAAAAAGTAAAAGTATTGTTAAATCTAAATGTTGACCCGGTGGGAAATGAGTTAGCGACTAGCGAGCGACTAGCTAGCTTTATTGCGATTTTTTTTCATCTTTAAAATTCGATTTTTAGTGTTGAGTCTAATATAATTATGAGAATAATTTAACTTTAAATATTGCAATTTTGTAGCAATGTGATGCTAGCTACATATCGTAGCTTTGTAGCTAGCTACAAAATATCTACAAATCTATAGCTGGTTGATAGCTACATATCAAAACTTTTACGACAAAGATTTTATTACGATATGACGCTAGCTACGATTGCCAGTGGGTCTTTAGCTTATTAAGCTAGCTATCCTTTATCTTTTCAAATACCGATAGCTTTTCGCTAACTTGAAAAAGCTAGCGATTCTCGTGGCCAAATTGCTGTCTTTATCGTTACGATTATAGCTAGCTACTCGCTAGCCAATTTTCCACCGGGGATGTTATAATTAAAATTAAATTAAAACTGAAAGTTAATGCCAAAATTTTGAATAAATATATATTAAATTTCAGAGGGTTGACAAACATTACAAATCTTATAGATTGTAAATTTAAGCTTTTAGTTTAAATAGAATTTTTTTTAACAAAATTTTAATTATTTATAATTTATGATATAGTCAAATTAAAAATTGTCTTCATGATTGACGTTTAAATTCACTCGATGGCATAGATTCCATTAATACGTGTATTTGAGCAGCCGTGATGCTGCGTTTAGAACTCTAGCTCAGAACCAAGAGGGTCGTGGTTATATGCTCTTCTACGGTGCTCTGCCTTAGATCAATAATTAAAAAAAAAAGTTGTGATAATCAAACATTGCTAAAGCTTCGGCATCAATTAAATCTTTTGTAAAGGAGCCTTTTTCTTAAATTAAATTTCAATGTTTGACTGTTGCTTCTTTGTTAAAAACATTGAAGAATAGAATTTTTAAAAGATTATTGAAACTTAACCAGATTTAATATATACTGGAAATGAATACAAATATTGTATTTTTTATGATGGAAAAAATGAAAAAAGCCATTCAGAAAAGTTAGGTAATAGTCAGAGGCGGATCTAGCATTTTTCAGTGTTTGAGTTATATTCCAGACATGAAGCAAATTCCGAACATTTAAATGTTTATACTTATGTCAAATAAGATTGGTTTACAAAAAAATTCGATGTACACAAAAAAAGCTCCTAAATTTTCGCCAAACACCTTGCCCCAAACCTGAGAGCAACAAGTTGATAAAATACTTTTTTTTACTATTCTCAGCTACACTTATACTCATTGATTCATTTTAAGTTTCATTGTATAATCTTTCAGCGTTCAAAAAGTATGGTCATATAAAACTTGTTATGGTAAGCTAAAAACACATGTTTTCCAGTAAGTATATAAAACTTGTTAAACTTTATATACTTACTGGAAAACATGTGTTTTTAGCTTCTTTCTTTTTATTATTATAAATCAATTACACACACAAATAATCTCATAAGTTTAACAAATAATAAAGTTTTTAAAAAATTTTGGTGTTGTTTTTTTGTTGTTTATTTCATTTTTATATGTCTTAAATATTTATCATAAAATTTTTGTTTTTTCCTAATTGGTTTTAGTACACTCTTAGGTTTAAAAGAGACTTAGATTTTATAATTATATCATTATATAAAATGTTGTCATACTGTATACAAATTTGCGCTAAAAAATAGTTCAATTTATACAAACTTGCGCAAAAAAATATTTTCTATTTTTGCATTCTGTGCAACAGAGTAAACCTTTAAATGTTATTTTTGTAATGTGCACATAGCACTAAAAATAATATTGCAAGAATAATATATAACACATAATTTATTGCAATAATAGTATATAAATCAACATATAATATATAATAGTAATATATAAAACAGAATATAATATGTAACAATAATATATAAAAAACATAAAAGTGTATAAAATTAATAATAAGTAATATATTTAATTTATATAAACTTAGTATTTACAAATATGATTTGCTTTAAATCATGTTTATAAATATTTTATAAATCATAGCGTGGTTACTAACTTCTTGGGTTTTTTTTAATTTAACAAAAAAGTAAATTCAATGTTAAAGATAAATCATAATAATAGAATTTTAAATCTAGTGAACATCAATTTCACCGAAAGAATAAATAAAAGCTAAAGCAACCTTCTATGTTTTTTTACAGCGCCAAATTTTGCAATTTAGACTTGCACCATATCGTACTTGAGTTAAATTTTTTTATACACTTTGCGCTTTTAACAGGTTTGATTATTTTAGATAAATGTGGCGGAAGCTATTCCCCGTTACTAACTTCTTATTGTACAAGGCATTGAACATTTTATTATGTAGTTCAAATTACTTAAGGATGTTGTTAAAATTTCAACCCGCTTTACCTTGGGTGGGGCGTATAAATATTAAAGTTCTAACTCAGAAT